TCCTCACAATCTGCATAAGAAAGAAGTAATCAGCAAGCTGAAATTAAAGTATCTGCAACCTCTGCCCTTTAAGTCAGTCACAAATTAAGGAAAATAATCTCTTCTAGTGGGAAAAAAACTTGCCAAAGAAATCCTTTCTATCAATCTCTCCCCACTAAAGGAAAATATATACCCTTGCTTAGAAGAATACAAATAAATCTTACTAAGCAACATTTTTTTGTTTAATTTTGTCTCCATCAGATCTTGAAGTAAATGCTGATTTAAAAACCTCAGACTTCTTGCCAGATGGCAGTGGAGTATCTCTGACAAGCAGCAGAGCATCCAGGATATCCATGGCAAATTCAGAAGGCATTCTGTGCATGTTTGTGACCCTCCAGAGCTGCAGAGGAAGGCAGCACTGTGGGGCTTTGCCACAGAACACACCTGGTAGCAGCTTTAACAACATTATTCTACAGCCTCTGCCTGCAGTGTTGCTCTCTTCTTTTAGCAGTTGGCAATAAAATGCTTAACTTTATGGAAGAAAAATTGGCTCAATGCAGAGCCAGTTGGCTCAATGCAGAGGTTTTTAGAAATTCCACCTTAAAAATTTGTTCCACACAGCTTTGTCATTGTCATTTGAAAAGCCCAGTGACAGGTAATGGTACTGGTTCTTTCCCCAGTACTGCACTCATGAGGAATTGGTCTTGAGTTTCTCAGCTTTTCTGTGCTGGATTTATTTGGTTTGCATGGCCAAGCTTTGGCAGGGTGGAGCTCCAGGGTGGCTCCTGTGAGCAGCTGCTGGGAGGTTCCTCTGTGTCCAGCAGAGCCAGCCCTGGCAGCTCCAGAGAAGGACGTGCTGCTGGCCAGGGCTGGTCACTCAGAAATGGTGGGAGCACCTCTGGGACAACAGATCTGGGAAGGGAGAGAAGGGAACTGCACAGCTGTGGCCAGAGAAGAGTGGGGTGAGAATGTGGGAGAGGAGCAGCTCAGCAAGGGCAGGGAGGAAGGGGCAGGAGTGCTCCAGGCACCAGAGCTGGGATCCCTCTGCAGCCTGAGGCGAGGCAGCTGTGCCCTGCAGCCCATGGAGGAGCCAGAGATGCACCCACAGCCTGTGGAGATCCACCTGCAGCCCATGGAGGAGCCAGAGATGCACCCACAGCCTGGGGAGATCCACCTGCAGCCCATGGAGGGGCCAGAGATGCACCCACAGCCCATGGGGATCCACCTGCAGCCCATGGAGGAGCAGAGATGCACCCACAGCCCGTGGGGATCCACCTGCAGCCCATGGAGATCCACCCACAGCTCATGGAAGAAGATCCACAGGGATGCAGAGATCCTCCTGCAGCCCGTGTAGGAGCCCAGGCTGGAGCAGGGGAATCCTGGAGGAGGCTGTGATGGACTCACACTGGAGAAGCTGAAGTTCCTGGAGAACTGTGTCCTGTGGGATGGACTCACACTGGAGAAGCTGAAGTTCCTGGGGAACTGTCTCCCATGGGATGGACTCACACTGGAGAAGGTGAAGTTCCTGGGGAACTGTGTCCCGTGGGATGGACTCACGTTGGAGAAGTTGAAGTTCCTGGGAACTGTCTCCCATGGGATGGACTCATGTTGGAGATGTTCCTGGGGAACTGTGTCCTGTGGGAGGGACCCACGTGCAGCAGGGGAAGGACTCCCCTCCCTGAGCAGCAGGAGAAGCCACGGGTGAGGAACTGCCCATAGCCCCCATCCCTGTCTCCTTGCACCACTGGGGCAGGAGGCAGAGCTGGGAAGGAGGGAGGGGTGGGGGGAAGGTGTTTTCAAGATCTTATTTTGCTTCTCGTTATCCTGCTCTGTTTTGTTAGTGATAAAGTCAATTAATATCTCTAATTAGAGCCCATTTTGCCTGTGATGGTATCTGGTGAGGGATCTCTCTCCCAGTCCTTATCTCAGCCCATTGTTGTTTTTGGTCTCCCCTGTGCAGCTGCAGAGAGGAGTCAGAGAGAGAGGCTCTGGTGGGTTCCAAGAATCCATCCAGGGTCATCCCACTACACTGGATCAGAAGGTTGCTGATAAATTCCCTTCCTGGGGCTGTATTTGAGCAATATTCTCTGTGAGGAAAAGAATAAAGAAGCCATGCAAATGGTAATCCTTCAAAACACCTGAGACAGCACTGTGTGCCAGAGGGCTGAAAGAATGTGAATGAACATTCTTTGATTTACCAGCAAGGTCTGTTCCTCCAGCACAAGTATTTAATCTGCTGACAAGGAGATAAGGGACTTTGAACAGCTTAGAGACCAGCCTAACATCACAAATACGATGCAAACAAGGATAACTTTGGAAGGAATTATAATGCAACAGAATATCTCTGTCTCCAGCACTGTGCGTGCAGTTGTGAAGGAGGCTGCAAGTTCTTGTGTATCAGTCTGTGCAAAAAGAAAATGTTGTTTTGGAGAGTAAAAAAGCTTGCATATTTCCTCACTTCCTGTTGTTAAAAAGTCAGAAATTTTCATTTTGGAGCTAGGCAAAAAAAAATAGGGTCAGATCCAGTTTCCTCCCAATCAAAGTCTACTTGTGCTCAATTGCCTGCTTCCTTTACTTCTGAACCATAACCATTAGACTGAACTAGTGAGCATAGTAAGAAACCAGTTGAAGAATGTTTGCTTTCCCTCTTCAGACTCATCATTGCTGATAGTTCCTTGTGATATATGAAAGGTTTTCTTTGGATTTATGATTTGGTGTGAATTTACAAACGGGGTTACTCCTGGCAAGAACCAACCAGGAGAAATGTCACTGATTATAACATGCACATTTTGTTTCCTAGTGACTCCATTCTGATAATAACTTGAAAGCTTAATGAGCTGTGGTACTTTTTTATCCTTGTAACTAGCAGAGACTGAGAACTATGAATTGAAAGCATTTCTACTGAAAAGTCCAGGTCAGGGCTGAATAAGACAAAATAAGGAGTTTACTAACTCCAAGTGCAGTTTCCTCTGTGCAATCTAACATGAAAGCATTGCCCAGGCAACGGACACAGGAAGTTTGATACCAAGTCAACTTTTATCAGGAGAAGCAAAGTCCAATTCATAAAAATATCCTGACATATGCACTTCTATGCCTGTCGTGATTTAATTCCAGCTGGCAACTCAGCACCACAGAGCCAATCCCTGAGAAAACTCCAGGGCTGAGCTAATGACAGTTTAATGGGTGAAGAAAAAGCTGCATGCACCAGCAAAGCAGAACAAGGAGCTCATTCTCCACTTCCCAGGTGGGTGTTCAGCCATGTCCAGGACTGTGGGGTCCATCTTGTGTAACAGCTCCTTGGGAAGACCAAGGAATTATTGGGGAATGTCATCCCAAACACAACAGTTTTTCCTTCCTTCTTGCAGGTTTATGTGCTCAGCATGATGTTCTGTGGTGTGGAATATCACTCTGGCCACTTTGGGTCAGCTGTCCTGGTTCTGCTCCCTCCTCACAGGCAGAACAGGGAACCTGGAGTCCTTGGCTTAGAGGAAGCACTGGTTAACAACAACTAAACCATCAGTGTGATATCAACATTATTCTCATACTAAATCCAAAACACAGCTCTGTACTAGCTACTAAAATGAAATTTATCTCAGTCCCAACTGGAACCAGGATAGTGGCCGTGGCCATAGAAGTATTGGTGGTACATTAATCAGATTTTTGCAGATGTGACCTAGTTCAGCTGGGAGACTCCCTCCTTTCCTACCCTGAGCTATTGACAGTGAGTGGGCTGAGGAGCAGGTGGAGATGAGGAGAAAGCATATGCTCCTCCATTTCTGCCAAAGCTTTTTCACATCTTTTCTGTACTTCCACTGAGCCACTGATCTGTTCAGTGGATTTTCACTCCTCCCATACTAAACAGAGGATGAGAGCCTATGGACAAGAGGGAACTTAACAGTGCTAAAGCTGATGTGGAAGTTTTTATATCTGAAAGGCAAGGTTGTAGGAAAGACAGTGTATTTTATTAGAATAATTCATGTCATTGGAAAAAGCAGATGAGCTTTTGGGCATACAAGCTCTTCTGGGGAAGGTGTGCACACATTCTGTTGAATAATAAAAGTTTCTATCTACTGAGGTAGTGTTCATCATCCATGGTTAACTTAAACTTGCCTTTAGCAAAGAACATGAATTCTTTTGAAAAACCCTGAATAAAACTGGGAAGAATTGCATGGAAAAGATTTTTCTTTTTACAGTGTCTGAAAGGGGGTACAAGGTGAAGATTGCAGCATGCTGGGCACTCTTTCTGCACAGGGTACATGCAGACTGTGTGTACTCTGCAGTTTTCCTCTCACAGTCCTAAGTGTGCCTTACTTTTCACACCATGGAACAACTCTTCAATGCAGGGTTTGCTTCAAACAGCAGATTTCCCCACGGGGATGGTTATTAGGCTGCCAGTTCTAACTGGAAGTTACAGCATTGTCATTGATCCATGTTAGGATGGTACTGAGGAGCTGCAGCACTTCACAAAGGCCGTGAGATATTGATCAGGTGATAATCAGCAGCAGCTTTTGGCTGGGCCAAATCCAAGGGAACAGTCCTGATGTGAAAGGACATGTACTGTGCTCAGTGAGGCATTCTGTTGCCTGAAAGTGTGGACTTAGTGATCCAGGACTAAATTAAATAGAAACAGTCCAGTGAATATCCAGTGTTAATCAGTCACCCAGAGACATTATGATAATACAGCACTATGGAGACACAGGCTGTGACTGAAATAATTGTGACTGTTAATTTTCAGCCTTGTTGCTAATGGACATTCCTCTGGAAGTCATTATAAAGATGCAGGGAAACATAATTTGAAAGACAATTACTTTTATTTAACTTGGACTGAAAGGTAAAGGAATTTATGAGGTATGTAACTCTTTGATGTTATTTCTATAAAATGTGTTTGTTTCCATAAACAGGCACATAATATCTTCACATAGAAGTGTCAAAGGAATGAAAATCTGGCTTCATTCTTCTCTTTAGACAAAACATAACAGCATAACATTGTGATGAAAATCTGGGAGGTTTTCTGCTCCATTTTAGTTCTTCTTCTTAAATGTCTGATGGCACACCTGGTCTTCACATGTCAGTTCCTACAGTATTAAAACAATTAGTAAGTATATAATGGTAGAAGTTTTATTTTGCATAGATATCAGATCCCACCAGAAATTGCTACAACTGAGTCACTGCATTAAAAACTTATGCCTATGAAGCAGAGAACAGTAAGAAAAGTGCATTATATCTAACCAAACAGCAGGTATGCCCTTCATGTTGCAGTAATTAGTTTTTGATACATGAACTGAACTCTAAGAAGAATAAACATGAACAATGCATTAAAATTTTGCTTTAATTCAATTTTGCTTTTTTTCATGTTCTGTTATTAAAACAATATACCGTAATAGTTTATAATTCATGTTACCTCAAAATTCACGAGATGCACTGAAACAAGGAAATAAATAAAAAACCAGGAATGCTTTCAAAAGCTGATTTGCTTCAGAGGTGTGCCCAGCTGTTTCTCAGGGGCCAGAACAGTGCACCATTGCTGCCCAGGGCTGCAGGGACCCCTTAAAGGCTGGCACATTGCAGCCAGTTTGGCTGGTGCCATCAGGCACCATTCCTGAGCCAAACAGGGCTTGCAAGGGACTGGAAAGGTGGCCAGCAATGCAGGGCCAAACCTGCAGGACAGGATCCTGCTGTAAGGATCTGCTTGGTTTTGTTTCCACCAGCCTCAGCCTAAACCTTGGTGCCAGCACGCAGAACTTTCCAGTTCAGCTTTTGGATGTGTGCTCAGACAGAGCTGCAGAGGTGCACTGGACAGGAGATTTTAGCTGGGTGGCACTTTGTGGTTTTGAATTCCTGTCTTTGCCCTTTCAGGCACAGAGATGGGAGCCACTGTGACTGCCCACACCAAGCATGTGTAAAGCAAACCTGTGAAGGGGCAGATTGCTTGCAGCAAAGCTTAGGACAGAACAATGGGCTCCTCTCAAGAATCTCTCTCCATCCACCTGCTGTGCCACCCAGTATTGTCATGCCCATTTCCTGATTGCTTTCCCAGGAAACTCTGTAATCATTATCATTATGAAAAATGCTCAAAAAAATAAGTAGATGTGGCATTTTGTGATAGGGGTTAATGGACATGGTGGTGTTCAGTCAAAGTTGGGACTTTTGTGATCTTGGAGGTCTTTTCCAACTTTAATGATTCTGTGATTCTACAATACTGTCATTTTGAAATGCTTCTGCACATCACTGATTGCTGAGTTCCTGCACAGGCTTTTCTGCCTTCTCTTGGACTCACCACATCTATCTTTGGGCTACAGCTTGCTACTTTAGGTGTTTGAATTTATTATTGAACTAAGAAAAAATAATTGCAGTATAGGTTGTTTGTGGGATCCTCTTGAATATTCAGGGGTTTCTGATCTATATTACAGTGCAGTGTGCTAAAATTTCATATTGCTTGGCTCAGAAAAAAAACCCCAACCATTTATCTTGCCATCTGATTTGGTTTGGTTTTTTTTTTCTCCTTTACCAATGATTATATAAGAATAAGATTATGTTAGAGGTGCAATGTAACAGGAAGGGTTGAGGGCTGGAGGGAAGTGGACTGGAGCAAAAAAACCACTGTAGGGTTATGACTTAATTGGGAGCAGGTGGGCAGAAATTGAGCATTCCTGAGTTGAAACAGAGGAGAAATTTCCTTAGAGTTCAGAGATCAGAACTGTCTAAAGACCTTTCTAACTAGAAAAAAAATAACAAATCCTCTGAAATGGAAAACCTGAGCCTATGCTGCAGCCTCAGTGATGTGCTGTGAGTGTGTGGAGCAGCCCTTACCAGATGCAATATGTCTCCTTCAATCCAGTGCTTCCAGCCCCTGTTGTTCTTTTCACCTTTCTGAACACAGACCAGTTTGTCACCATCCCAGGTCACCAGGGACTGCATGAATCAGATCATTAACTCAGTTACATTAACCAGAAGTTTATGAACATATAAAAATAAGTTCAAACAGTGTGAATACGCAGTTACAGTTGCTTCCTATCATTCTCCAATTTCCTCATTAAAAAAACCCCAAAGCATTTAAACAAAACCCAGATGCATTCAGGATGACAGCAGTGTGACAGAGGGAAGCTTTTGCAGAGCTTTCTTGTCATTTCCATGTGTTTCTTCACACACATGAGTAACAAGTGTTCACACTAACTGGTGAATTGTTGAGTGTGTTTACAGCTACTGGTGCAATATATACAAAATGCATTTTTTTCTTGTTGTTTAAAGCCATTAATGTAAAAAAGTTACTGGAGGCTTGTACTGCAAAGTGCAGTGCTAACACATTTTCTAGCTCTGCATAAAGTAACAAGAGGAACAGTATGTTACTATCATCTCATCCACTAAATTTGTTTGTTTATTTTAATGTACTTTCTTAAATGTCTGATGGCACACCTGGTCTTCACATGTCAGTTCCCACAGTATTAAAACAATTAGTAAGAAATTTAAAGAGATGTGATCATAAGCCAGACAATGGGCTGTAGCTGACCCTGCCTGAGCAGATAGGTTGGACCTGGTGCCATCAGGAGATCCCTTCCATACTCAACTATCTCCAGGTTGGACCTGGTGCCATCAGGAGATCCCTTCCATGCTCAGCTATCTCCAGGTTGGACCTGGTGCCATCAGGAGCTCCCTTCCATGCTCAGCTATCTCCAGGTTGGACCTGGTGCCATCAGGAGATCCCTTCCATACTCAACTATCTCCAGGCTGGACCTGGTGCCATCAGGAGATCCCTTCCATACTCAACTATCTCCAGGTTGGACCTGGTGCCATCAGGAGATTCCTTCCATACTCAACTATCTCCAGGTTGGACCTGGTGCCATCAGGAGATTCCTTCATGCTCAACCATGCTCTGCCATGGTTCAGGCTAGCAGCAGCAGACAAGGTCCTGGGTGTGCTGATTCTTGTCCAGGAGCAAGAGAACCCTCAGCAAGGAAAAGTTCTCTGTACAGGCTGAATTATCTGTCTACAGATGTGTCAGGGTCCATTCAAAGCAACTTTGCTGGAATTGCTCTGCATTTGAACCACTGTCCTTTAGGGGTGTATTTAACCATGTATCAGACAACTCGTATTAGACACCAGTTACAGTCCATGAAAGCTCAGTTATTATAAAGCTCCAAGCATATTGGGAGCTTAATTCATTTTCTAGTCCAGCACTGGATGATTTATTTCTTTTATGAGGGAGCCTTCCATTAATAATGAGACAAAACTCATTCCATTTCAGTTAATTTCTTTCTTATTTACGGAATTTTCAAGCTACATGCTCTTTAAATTATCCATGCCCTCTTTACATTTAAATGTTGCCTACCAATTTTATTACCTTCATCTAACTTTAATGTGTTTGAGGCATTGTTTTGTTAATGAAATGACCAGAAAATACTTTTAGAGCAATTCAGAAAGTAATGGCATGACATGCATCCTTTTTCCTTCTGCCCTCTAGAAACAAATAACACGATTTGTTTAGAAATTAGTATTGTAATTTAAATTAAATCAGGTAGGGTTATAAATGCACAATTCCTTCCTTCCTTCCTTCCTTCCTTCCTTCCTTCCTTCCTTCCTTCCTTCCTTCCTTCCTTCCTTCCTTCCTTCCTTCCTTCCTTCCTTCCTTCCTTCCTTCCTTCCTTCCTTCCTTCCTTCCTTCCTTCCTTCCTTCCTTCCTTCCGCCACTTCCTTCCTTCCGCCACTTCCTTCCGCCACTTCCTTCCGCCACTTCCTTCCGCCACTTCCTTCCTTCCTTCCGCCACTTCCTTCCGCCACTTCCTTCCTTCCTTCCGCCACTTCCTTCCTTCCTTCCGCCACTTCCTTCCGCCACTTCCTTCCGCCACTTCCTTCCGCCACTTCCTTCCTTCCGCCACTTCCTTCCTTCCTTCCTTCCTTCCGCCACTTCCTTCCTTCCGCCACTTCCTTCCTTCCGCCACTTCCTTCCGCCACTTCCTTCCTTCCTTCCGCCACTTCCTTCCTTCCTTCCTTCCTTCCTTCCTTCCGCCACTTCCTTCCTTCCTTCCTTCCTTCCGCCACTTCCTTCCTTCCTTCCTTCCGCCACTTCCGCCACTTCCGCCACTTCCGCCACTTCCGCCACTTCCGCCACTTCCTTCCGCCACTTCCTTTCCTTCCGCCACTTCCTTCCCTTCCCTTCCCTTCCCTTCCCTTCCCTTCCCTTCCCTTCCCTTCCCTTCCCTTCCCTTCCCTTCCCTTCCCTTCCCTTCCCTTCCCTTCGTTTTTGTAGTGGTGATGAGCACTAGAGGAGCACTAATTGATGGATTTAAGGAGTGATGAAACTAATGAGTCCTTAGATCCTTAGCAATGCCTTCAACTGATCTGAAGAGATGTGGGAGCAGTGTTTTTAAGCATAGACTTTGTCACAGGAATTAGTTCCACTCAGTGCCCACTGGAGAAGGAGACAGAAAGAAAATTTAGATATAGGGATGTTCAGGATAGTGAAAAAATATGGGTCTTACTCTTTGATAGCTTGCAGTGCTGTGAATGAGAAATAATTTGGAAGAAATCATAGGAATTACACTGCACAAAGTTATTTTGATAATTAAAAGTGATCTGTGGTGAGCAAGCCATGTCTTCTGCTAAATTTGTGTCCCTCCAGTGAGGGATGATGTGAGTTCAAATACAAACATGTCCTTTATGCTGCCACTCTCCTGTGGCAATTGCCAAAACAAACAGGTCTTGTTGACAGAGAGCTTTGATCTCAGCTTCTCAAAGTTTGGCAGCTGGGAGCTGAGTGGCAGAACAGAGGTGTGGAGATGGAGGTGTGGAAATCAGCAGGGCTGAGAACAGAAATTCAGTGAGTGATGACCAAGGGAGGAAGGGGATGCTGGATTAGCAAGGCTCCCACAGGTACAGCCAATGGAAATTTCACATCTCCTGGCCTTTCTACATCTGAAAGTGTTGCTTAAGCTTTTAGGGTGAGAAGAAAGCAAAACAGAGGCAATATTGATGCAGAAACACGAAGCTGAATTCAGGAGGTGAATGGGTGCTTGTTTGTACTGTTTTCCTCCCTGACTTCTCTGAGAGAGCCTTGCTTGAATCCCCCTGAACTGATTCTGCCACAGGAGGTGGGGCAGGGGCTACAACACGGCCCTTACTACAGGTGCTGGCCACAAAATCCCCTGAAAGGTGTCTGAACAAAGGGCCAGGAGCTCAGGTGCCTCCAGTTATCCCCAGGGCAGTAAAGCACCCACTGCTGCCCTCCTGCCCTGCCACCCTCCAAGCTTTGCCTCACATCTTTGCCTTGCCCCTTCCCAAAGCTCCCCTAAGAGTAAAAGCTGAGTGCAGGTTTGTTTTTCACAATGCCCAGCTGTTAAACTGCCCAGCTGAGAGTGATCAGTGCAAAGCCAGCCATCCCAAAATGAAAAGTGCTATTGATGGAGTCCTAAATTCCCAGGGATCAACCCCCAGTTTCCTTAAGGAGGATGCATAGGTAAAAATACAGTTTTGCTGCTTTCTAGATATCTAAGGTGTATCAGAAAAGCTGGAAAAATCCCCCATTAGAAAAACCTAATTAATGATTGTCCTCACATATCTCAGTAGCCATCCTGATTTGCATTTCTAATAAATGCTTGTAGCAGGAAAGAAAACTGTCTCAGGATGCAAATTACTCCTGCTTTATAAAATTCCTCTGATGTCTGTAAAATATTGGGGCTGATTTTGGGAACTGCAGGCTCCTGGAGCTGACTGTGGTGTGAGCAGACCCCAGGTTTTTACCTTCACCACTCGGTTATCCAGTCCTTTGGTGTGCTCCTCAAACTCCACGCCCACAGTGTAGTCCACATCATAGTTTCTGAAAGTGCTGAGGGTTTTGGTTTTAAAATTGTCTCCATTTTGAACAATTTCCTTTGTTTGTTTCAAGTGTTTCGCAATCTTACGAGTTGCAAAATCAATACCTGTCAAAAACCAGAAAGGAGAGTGAAAATTCCAGTATTTGGTAATGAAAATAAAGCCCCACAGCATTTATATTTACACATTAAAAAATAAAGTAAGTCAAACATAGTTCCTCAAATGGTGCTTTTACTGCAACATTTTTCAGAGAAAAACATTATTTCAAATAAAAATCATCTTCTGCTTACAAGTACACTTTCAACTTGAGGCTCTTCCACTGATAATAAATTTATTTCTTAATGGGATATCTGTGGGAATGCTGGGAGCATACAACATAGAACCAGGAGTGAATGGATGCTGGTGTGTTTAATCACCTAAATTTTTTTGAGAATGTGAAACAAGAGGGGCTATTAAGCCTGGCAGTGCCTTTTTTGCCTCACTAAAGAAGGATCTCAGAATTATATTCCTTATCAGAGATTTAGCAGGTTAGACTGGGTATGTAATCAAGGGAGAATAAGTATGTCATCAAGAGGACCTGGGCATGTCACTTTTATGATGAACCTGTAGTCTGGGAGTATACAAGAGGTTAATTAATTAGTGTAAAAGAAAATGAAATGAAAAAAGAAGCCATCAAATAAAAACATGAAATCCATTATTGTTCAATAGCAGACAGCCAAATAAATTGCAGTTCAAAAGGAGACAAATTCAAAGTCAAAAGTCAAAAAAGAGCATTTGTGTAGAGCATTTGACAGTTTCTGCTTCATATTCTGTCAACATTTCCTGCAGTGCTGATCTCCTTGGCACCATTATTTTGTTCCCTGCACACCCTGCTTGGCCCTGGAGCTCTGCTGTCTCCATGGGCAGAGCACCCCTGGCACCATCCCAGGCTGCCCAGCAGCTCCAACACCATCTGCAAGAACCATTTCTGACCAGGGGTTGTGATTGTGCTGCTGTGGGCACGTGGAACCACCTCCCATGCTCCTGCAGTTCTGGGAGATGGGTTTGGTTTGCTGGCAAACCCATCTGGGGTTTGTTAATCACTGCCAGCCCAGCAATGCCACTCACTAATGCAGCCCTTTGCTTCTGCTAGATTCATTATCCTGCTTGGGAAGCACTAATTGAGCTGAGCAAGAGGATAGGCTTGGAAAAAAATGTGACTTTTAAACATGGGGAATAATGGTCTTGTTCAGTATTTATATGCAAGACTTCTTGGGTATATTTTATCTGCTCTGGTGGATTAAAGGTATCTCTGGGGCTGATTTATAGCCAGGCAACATAAAATTTAGTTCTCTCTGAGGGCAAAAATGTCTACACCTCTAAAGAAATGCTATTTCTGACTAATATATTGGTCTTGTAGCTGCTGGAGAAAAACAAGGGAGGTTTTATTAAAGCATGGTTTTCATAACTGCATTTTGAACAATATAAGCAATAAAAATGATATGTAGTTCTATTATAGTATATTTAAATACTTTGTAACATGCTTATGATAAAATCAAACTTTCTGACTTAGAGGGCAAACCTAATCTTTAATTAAAGTATAGAAATGTGTATGCATTAATTAAAAGGACAGATGAATTAAAAATACCCCTCAAAACCTGTGTGCTTTGAATCTGAGCATATTAATACTTAAAATATCAGCAAAATGGAAAATGGGGAGAAAAAGAGCAGAAGAATATCTTTTCACCCTTTCCCTGCCATTTCTTTCTGAGACTCACCAACAGCATTTGCATCTTTGCACTGGTTTTGGTGTTGGGTTATTTTTGCTTATTCATTGGCAGTTTGAAATTGCTATATCTGATTGTGTAGATATAACTTATAGTTTATATATGCACATATGCACAAAAATCACTTCAATTAATGTGTATCTTTCTCCTGAAATTCAAGACATTCTCCTAATCATTCTCATTTTCAAGCACTCTCTCTTTTTGTGCCTCACAAGTGTCTATGCTTATTATCTACAGGTGTCCCTGAAGTTATTGAATTCTTTTCCACAAATGCAAAAGCGAAAAACCATGAGTAGTGAAACTTGCCTTTCTCTCTTGAGAGAGTTAAAGCTTTGGCAAAATTGCAACTGCTTTCAATTGTTGATGAATAATGAGGAGAGTTTATTTTTATGTATTTATGTATTTCTTCTATTTCAGTCTGAACAGATCAATCAATTAGGATTAAGGTTCTTTGGTAAAACTAGTAGAAAATCAGTTAAAGCATCAAATTTTTCATCTCTGTACCATAATTAATTCAAAGCACTAACTAAATAATGGCATTATTGTTAATTTACTGCTATAGAATATCTTATTCCTCTTTAACCAACTTGTGGCAAGTTACAGTAAGAATATACCAGGAGTAAAAAAAGAGCTTTTAGATTTGAAAATTTGTTGGTTTGGGGTGTTTTCCCCCACCTGTATCTGTTTTTTCATTTATCTAAATAAAGAATAACATCTTTGGCTACCAGTCTTCAATTGCTTATATATTTAGATCATTGCAATTTTGAAAACAATTACTTGCTTTGTAACATGATTGGCAGTAACCCTTCTGCCACAATGTACATTGCAGAAAAACCTCATTAATTTTTAGAAGGATTTGACTTAGAATTGAACGATTTTCTCTTGATCTAATTAACATTTAATTAATATTTTTGCTTCATTTACCTAAAGCAACCATGTATCCCTCGAAGTTTTCATTGGTCTGCATCTCCCAGGTGCCATTGTAGTCGGCAGGCATGGTGGCAGAGCCCAAAGGCAGCTTCAGCTCAGGAGCACAGGTTGGACCCAGCTCTGCTCAGGGAATCTTTTATAAACCTTTCCTGAGCTTTTTTTCCACTCAGGTTTATGGTTTTGTAGATAATGCAGTTGAAGGGGCAGAGTGATAACCCTGGAAACTTTGCTTTCATTGGCAAAGTTCAGCTGAACAGCTGGCAGACAAGGAACAATTTCAGAAATATGGAGTAATACAGGATATGATTTTACAGTGACCTTTGTAGAAAACTGCTGGCTATTATGGGATACCTTTGAAATGTATTGAACACGGTGGCAAATTGTACAAGCCAGTTAAAGTGTCCAAGGTGAATTGGTTTTTAGCTCCTTTCTACGTGTCACTTTTCCCTATGAAGCTGAGTCTTACAGAGCTGACCCATACTGAACTCCCACTTAAAGCTTCAGGAAGTCTTGAATGTGAAACAAATGTTAGACAGGGCAGGAAAGAGAATACTCCTGTTCAAAATATTTTTGGCTTTTTTTGATTTTCAATATATCTGCCATATACCAATAGCTGTACTTACACCAACTACACTTTCATTTTTTGTTTTGGTTTAAGAGCAAGTTTAACAAATGTAAACTAAATCAAAATCAATCATAATTAGTATCAATCCTGCCCTGAAAATTATTTCGTAATTCCTCTGAAACATGTCAGTTTTTATTGGAAACCTATTTTATACATAGCTGGGGAGAAAAACATGGATTTCAGTTGTGCAGATAAGCACATTCAGAATGTGTCAGAACAGAGAATGTGCAGTCAAATTTTATTGGAATTTAAAGTAAAAAGCAAATTAATTTAAGATAAGGTTTCATGTTGTGGCTTTAATCAGACAAGATAATGTACAGATGGCTCTATGGAGACAATAACTGAAGTGACCAAAGGTAAAACACTTGAACTCCTTGCCTTCCTCTCCTTTTTTTTTTTTTTTTCAAATGGGAATATTATTTAAAAATTTGCTAGAAAATGTACTAAGGTCTAGATCTTCAACTCAGAAATAAGGGAAGAGCTACTGATCTTATGATTTCTCTTCTGTGCCTTTACTTTGTTTAAATTTAACCAAGTTAAAATTCCACAAATGCTGAAAATTTGTGCAGGGATTAAAAAAAACCCTCAAAACAAACCCAAAGAAAGTTGAGAGTTTCTGGGGGTTGAGTTCTTAAAATGTCTCAACTTCAGGAGCCAATTTAAGACAAGGAAAAGAAGTGTCCTGGTGTGCACTTGCAGAGGGTTTGCAGTGGGGCAGAGGCAGGGGGAGCTCAGTGCCTGGAAGCTGGAGCTGAATTCCTGTGGGAATGTCCCCAGGAAATGTCCTGCAGCCCTGGCAGTGTCTGCAGAGCAGTTGGGGCTGATACCTTCAGCTTTCTGAAACCTGCAGCTTTCTGAAACCTGCCTCATCTCCAGCACAGTTTATTGGGCTGACTGCACCTACTGCTGATGTGCTTGTTTCCATGCTGAGAAATTCCAGATGGAACTCTGTGAGTGATGCCACGTTGAAAGTGAAAATTCAACCCCTTTTGCTCTGTAGAGTATTATGTAATACCTCTGCAATAATTGGATTTTGACCATCTTTGTGTAGTTGATTTCTTAGCTTCTGTGTTGCATCAGTGTCAATAATACATTATTACTATTTACATATTATGTGTACATACAAAAAGGTCCTGTAAAAATAAGAATATATCAGACTGTCTACAATCACCTCCTGGAATGAGAGCATTTTCTAGAAGCTCAGGGTGGGATATTCCAGATGCTCACTGAGTTCAGTTCTGACACAGTTTACCTCCTATGTGACACTAATTTTTGTCAGCTGGGGAAGAGACTGAAGCTGTATGGTGTGACCATCAGCAATTAATGTCCATTAACAACTAACAGAGTAACAGAAGGCTCCATTGCTGTAGATATGCAGAGCTGGGCACATTCTGAGAGAATTAATTATGACATGAATACATCCTTTGCACAAAATATCATAGCTAGTTAACAGCATAGACATATACTTGTACAGCTTTTCCCCACAGTGTTTTGGTTATGCTCATCTCTTATTAATTTTTTTACATTTTTCCCCAATATATAGATGTATTTTCTAAGCACGTGTTTATCCATCAGACTAAATTAGCATTTTGAGCCTTTTCAGGTAAAAATACAACCAGGAGGTTTACAGACACTCCATTTAACCAACCAGAGAACTGGCTAAGTAGGGAATTAAAACATGAAATATTGACTTGACAGAGTTCTGTGATGCTTCATGATGAGCTTTAAAAGAGTGTTGCACTAAGGTCCACAAAGAGAATATTCAGTTTATGAATCAATATCTTGAGAGACAGTAGAACCTCCAGCACAGCCAAGTGGCTGCCTGAATCACAGGGTGCACAGGGGCTGCTCACACCATTGCCTGACAGCCCTGGGGAAACAGTTCCAGCTCCCAGCTCTGCCTTGCCAGTTAGACTCACCTGCCTCTCCACAAAGTTTTAACATTTTGACTTTTTATCTACTTGAAATCTTAGAAATTATTCTTTGTGCTTTGTATTTATTGTTTATGCACTCCATACACAGAGACAAAATTTCAAAATGGCAAAGCAGTATTACCTGCCCATGGAAAAAGTCTACATTTGGAGAAATGCAGGTAAGGTGCCCTCTCCTAATTGTCATGGCTGTCTTGCTCTCAGCACCCTTTGCTTGCAAAACCACTTGCTAAAAATGAAACACTGAGCTAATTTTTTTTTTCAACATAGGAATAAGATTTATGGCTGAATATTAAGTTCTTGGAAATAAAGCAAAGTGAAAAAAATCAACTTACTTCTGCTAAAAGCCTAAGTAACTTTTCCAGTCTTTATTTGTGTGTGAAGAAACAAAGATGGCATTGTTTGCCTCGTTCCTATGAGTCAGGATTGATTAGAGGCAGTTTGAAAGGAAAAGCTGTCATGGAAAACACCCAAATGCTGTTTGTGTGGAAGAGTCAGCAGTCATGGGTACTGCTTCCAACATTTCCAGTTCCTCCCATTGTGTCTGAGACCTGCCCAGAGACAAATTCTGTCTGGGTAGGTGAACAAAGTTCAGCCTTTCTTGCTGTCTGAAAGAGCTGCAAGTGCATTCCCCTTGGAAAAGTTCTTCTGCCAGAGCTCTAGATAAAGCACAGAAGGACCAGGCAAATGGAATTTTCCCTGTAAACTTTTGGGGATGGTGTTTTGAAGAGTCTGTAACATGCTTCCCACTCTGCCCTTGCCTCGTTTAATTTTTCTTTGAAATTATCCAATCTGCAGATATGACAGAGGAGAGAAATGCCTGGTACTCCTCCCCCAAGCAGCCCCTACACTCCTCATGCTTGACAGCTGGGACTTTTGCCTGTAGTGATTTGGTTGTTGTTTAACACATGGGAATATGGCAAACTGCATAGGTTGTTCTTAGCAACTGAATCCCCCTGAAGGATTCAGACAGAAGCAGCATGGTCACAGACACCTATTATTATTTTTAACTTGTTAGCACATTGCACTCACTAGGTTTATTTTAATTTTTTTTTAGAAAATTAATCATTTGCAATGCATTCAGTGATGGCTGCTGCTGCAAAAGCTGTCAGAGGTGCTGTCCCACAGGTTCTGCTCTGCACAAAGCCCAGGAGCCACGTTCTGAGCACCAGGAGTGCTCTGGAATGAAGCCATGGGCTCCTTGTCCATGTGTGGTTGTCCTGCAGCCTCAGTGCTGCCCAGGGCCCCAGCAGGATGGGCAGGAGCAGCAGGAGGGGGCAGAATCCCAAGGTTTGATTTGCAGAAGGGGCTCAGCAGGTCCAGTTTGCTGGCCCATGTGGGGCTGCCTGGCCCTGCTCTGCCTTGGCCACCCCTGGTGATCCCAGCCTCTCCCAGCACAGGCAAACCCACACCAGTGCCTTGGAGCTGCAGGCTTGCCTGGGACTCCTGGGCTTTGCTGCTGGGTTCAGCCCTGCAGGGAGGGAATGGAAGGATTCTGGCCAGTTGTACAGAGAGTTCTTGTTGCCCAAACACTTCCATTTGGTGTCCTGCCAGAGCAGAGATCCGCAGGGACAAACTTGTCTGACACCTGATGACAAAGCAGGGACAGGCTGCAGACGCTGTGGGAGGATGAGGGTGTTGATGCCAGTTTGGGTTTTGCCTTTTTTTCTTTTCTATGTTCTCTGTATCCTTTGCACATAGATCTGTGGCTCTGTCACCGATTATTATAAGTTTTCTCAGTATTTTTCCATGGCCTTTCCCTGGGCAGAAAGAAAAAAACAAATTCCAGAGCTCCAAGCCTTGGGAGGCCCCTGTGCTGTCTTGGTTCTTGCTGGGAGCAGCTCTTGGAGATCCATGTCATGGACAGAGCCCAGCCAGTGCCCAGGGGCTTGACCTGGGGGGGATTGCATCACCACTTGTCCTCCCAATTGGTGCTTTTATCAATTATGCTAATTTCCTAAAACCTATAACTGTGTATTCATCTCTGTTGGGGAGGGCCTTTTGTGGACATCTTTCCACAGTTGCCCCTGAAGACCTTCAAATAAAGATCTGCTCTTACATTACTAAAATTATTTTGAGTTTCATTTCCAGGTTGGGAAAAAAGGCAACAGTGTACACAGGGCACACAGAGGTCAGTAATGCCACTTCAGCACATTTTTGTGTTTACCTTCAACTTCAGCAAAGATGCACAAAATATGCTTTAAATCACTCTGAGAAATAAAGTAATTGGTTTTCAGCCATTGAGGTTTTGTCTTTTTTCAGTCATTTCTACCTCTTCTACTCCATCTGATTTTGCTGATGTTACAAACATTATTAATCAAAAGCCTCCCTCTTGTCTTAACTAAGGACTTTGGCTTAGCTTTTAGAGACTTCATAATGTCACTTGTGATTGTGTTACTGATAACATAAAAAATACAATCCAGTGGACTCTATTGTCTTGAGAACTCACTTTTATTAAGGTGGTTTACTTTTTGAAATATTATCCTCTAGAGAACTATTAGCCAGTGGATA